CTTTATAAAAGTTAAGAGTCAACCACGCCTACCTAAAACGGCTCTTTTCTAACACGCCCCCACATGTCTATGTCAAGATGTGGATAAATTAGCGTGTAATGTTGAGTCAGACTTCCTGTTGTTACAGTTTAGCGACATCCACTCACATTATACACATCCAGCACCGTTTAAACGAGAATATTGACGGCTTTTGAGACTTAACGATCAGAAGACACACATGGATCATTGCAGTAGGAGGCAACAGGAGAGGAAACCTCATACAACCAACACGTGTTTTGGGCAGGTATGTGTTTTGATTATTTTGACATGTTAATAGCTACAGAAACAGATGATTTATATTGTATTAATATAATAATATTTCCAGAATTCCAAGTTTATGTTTGTTGTAGTATGCATATACTGCAGAGGAGTATCAGGCCGTCCAGAATGCTCTACGGCAGAGACTCGGACCTGAATATATCAGCACCAGACAAGCTGGAGGAGGACAAAAAGTGAAAATTAATGCGCTTAATGTACACTTAAATATTTAGTCTTGCTGATCTAATATATAGTTGATTATCTTGCTGTTTTCCAGGTTATTAGACCTTTGTCTTGTTTTTTGCAGGTGTGCTATATTGAAGGTCACAAAGTTGTAAGTCTGGCTAATGAAATGTTTGGGTATAATGGATGGTCACACTCAATATGTCAACAAAATGTTGGTAACATCATCACAAGTCAAAGACATGTTTCTCATAACGACGGGCACAGATTCTCAAACAATTCCCATTTATGCTGTATTTACATCAGGTTGCAAGATTTGGTGCTTCTTTTTAAAAAGACGTGGTCAATCTTGTGTTACAGACTTCGTGGACCTTATCAATGGGAAATTTTATGTTGGAGTCAGCGCCTTTGTGAAGGTTGAGTTAAAGGTAAGTGCTCTTGACAAGACAGACACACAGCATTGTGAGGAGCATACCATTTCTTCAGTGTCTCTTCCATAGGATGGCTCGTACCATGAGGATGTAGGATATGGGGTGAGATAAGGCCTTAAATCCAAAGCTCTGTCACTGGAAAAAGCAAGAAAAGAAGCCGTCACAGATGGACTGAAAAGAGCACTCAAGTAATTATTTCTGTTGCTACATATACTTGACTCTGATTGGTCAGTTGTTTCATTTTGTGGTCAGTGTTTTAAATCAAATTTTGTGAGAAATTTGCAAGGATGTATTAAACTGAACAAAAGTGACGGTAGAAACATTTAGAATGTTGCAAAAGATTTCTATTTCCAATGAATACCGATAATAATAAGAAATATTTCTTAAGCAGCAAATCAGAATATTAGAATGATTTCTGAAGGATCATGTGACACTGAAGACTGGAGTAATGATGCTGAAAATTCATCTTTACCATCACAGGAATAAATTACATTTTAAAATATATTTAAATGGAAAACAGTTATTTTAAATTGCAATAATAATTCATAGAATTTCATAATATTGCTGTTTTTAACTGTATTTTTCAAATAAATCAAATAAATGCAGCCTTGGTGGGCATAAAAGACTTCTTTAAACATTCAGGAAAAAAAATCTTACCAACCCCAAACTCTACACTATCTTTTCCCTTACACAAAGTAATTTCAACTAAATTATTTATAATATTTGATAATTATTTATATTCAATAAGAAGCCATATAATAAGTAGGATATATATACTGAATAGTCAGCTAATTATTATCACAAAATAAAAAAGGCTTCCGATTACCCTGTCAAGATTAATTTTTGCTAATGACTGGCTTACTATACATTATGCAATACATTATATAATTGTTATTGAATTAATCATTTCAATTTTATTTTCTAAGGTGTTTTGGAAATGCGCTTGGAAATTGTATTCTGAATAAGGAGTATCTCATAGCGATCAATAAAATACCAAAGCAGGTAAGAAGTAATCCTATCAACATTTGGGCCAAATTTATGATACTTTGACTTATTTTAATGTATTTCCTCAATTTATGTACCTGAAATATGGTGTATTTTCTGTTACTGCAGCCACCTCCTCCGTTAGACCTGAACAAAACCAAACACAGTGATAGCGAGCCGTCTTTGGAGAAAGCCAGGTTCGACAGCCTGGCCCGAGCCAACAGCAGGGAATTTATCAAACCAGTGGAACTAGCCAACACCCTCTTAGAGCGGCTGGGAAGTCACCCTGTACGAGGAAGGCATGAGAGCGGAACTGGATCCAGGACTTCATTGACAAACACGGCAGCACATTCTGGCAACACGTCAGCTCACCAGGACTCTGAAAACAGGTCCAGCAACACCTCAAGGTGAGTTTATTTGGTGCTAACTTCAACACTAGCCAGCTGCACTTATGATAAATCTGCTTCTCTCCATGTTCTTAGGTCAGCAGCTGACATGGCTGACCTGTCCTCATCTGATCCTCCACTGGACTCCAAGCAGCAGAGGAAGCTGAGACAGCAGCAGCTGCAGCAAAAGTTCAGACAGGAAATGGAGGCTAAGAAGCTGCTACAGGAGCAGAAAAGCCAGCAGACCAACGGTTCCACTGAGCCGCCGCTGCAGTCTAAGCAAGGTGTGATGGAAAATTTAAGGGTTCATGTTTTAGCCATGAATATAAAAGATTCAAGACTTTGCCTGCAGGAGTGTCAGGTGTGTAGCGCTCTCCATCGGTGGGTTTATCATTTTAGGACAGGCTGTAGGCCCTGTTAACCACAGTACACCAAACGGACACCTGGTGACCACTAAGCAGGAGGAGTATCTGACTGGTAAGAAGTATTTTAAAGAAAGGTGTGATCATGGTACATGTGCATTGGGAACTTATTTGGTCAAATATATGATCAGCAGTGCCACTGATTAGACAGTGATGGTAAATACTGGCTGCTTTAAAGCAGGTCTTTTCAAACTGGGATCCTGGCCCGTGGTTGTGAACTATTGTCCTAGGGCGTTCATGAAAAATAAAGAATTTTTTGTTTTGAAAGACATTTTTATGGCTGCCAGTGGCAACAAAATATTAAATATATGTAACAACGGTTTTTCAACAGTTACAGAATATACAGATATTATTGGCATTTCACTGGTCAGAAATGAACAAATTAGTTGTGATCCCCCTCCCCCCTGACAACTAGTTTTTAACAGTAGGAAATAAATGTAAAACTTTAAATAATAAAAATGATTAATTTTCTGATAATATTTTGATTTGGCTTTAGTACAGTGACAATATAAAAGGCAATGCAAGCAGCATTGTATTTATAAAATCACAATAAAATTGCATATATTATATATATTAAAATATTTGGCTGCCTTTGTTTTTGAGGAATGGGGTCATTTGCAAGGGAATTGTCAAATTTGGGGCATCATTCTAAACATATTTTTAAGCTTGAAAATACCAGACCTCTTTCATTGTGATTCCTTGGAAAAGCATGGTCAGTATATCCATGAATTTCTCATTTTTGATACATTTCAAGAAAAACATCTTAAAAATCGCAAAAAAATTAGTAAATGACAGAATTTTCTTTCCCCTCCTCCTTCTTCGATAGAGATCTCTCTAATCTGGTGGGAAAACTTTGAAGGACTTTTGGTGACTGAGGTTTTAATACAGGAAAAGGCTAGTAGATGGTAAGGTGAAATATATAAATATTTCCCACTTCTCCTCAGATGACCCGCAATTATGGGACTTCACTCTGGACGGCATCGATATGCTCGACAATCCTGCAACAGTCTCCACAGAACCTCCCCGTCCCACGACACAGAGCCAACACAAGATGATGATGCGCAGCAAGACCCCACAGAGAGCCCAGTACCTGAGACCACCAGCTCAACCTCAGGGCCATGTTGTGCCTCAAGGCTAGGGAGGATATGGCCAATACAGATCCTCTGACATGAGAATTACAGCAGGAGCAGGTACAGTCTGAACTGTTTGTGGAATAAATACATGCTCATTTAAAAAACTTTGTAATTAGGCAAGTATATACATGCTCAGTTCTGGTTTCGCCTCTTCACTCATGCAAACATCCCACGTCCCCATTAATATAAATAGCCAGGGACTTAACACTCTCAGAGCTGGCAGCCTGTGGCCCACAATTCATAACAAGCCTGTGCTTGTCGAATTTGCCTGTTCATTAAGAGAAAATAACTTTTAGCTTCTTTTTAAATATGGACCTATGGTAATGATGTTATAATTGTTAATGAAGGTGGACCACAGAGCCCATACAGACACGGCCAGATGATGAAGAAACGAAGACTGGACACAATGAATTTAATTATTTATTGTTATCTTTTATCTAGATGTTTTATATTAATTTGTGAATATGAGAAGCTAATAAATGTTTGTTTGTCTTAGATGTTTTTGATTGAACCTCCTAATTTGTAATATAAATCCAAACTTTATAAATTTTATTTCTGATTTTTGGAGAATAAAAGTCTGAGGAATGGAATGAAACCGTATTCCCAGGTTATTTTACCACATTTTACTATTTTTATTGGTAGCTGATGGCAGGGGATGCGAAAAGCTGTGGGTATAAATCTGGAAAACACCTTGTAATAATAAGCACAGTGTAGTGGGAGGAGGAAAAGTCCAAAATGTTTTATTAAGCATTTGAATATATATATATATATATATATATATATATACACACACACGCACATATTTTAAACACAAAACCATAGATAATCACCAAAAGGACCCTGGATGGAAAATGATTGAAAACATCAGCAGCAATTTTTGACCCCACAAATTTAATGCTGTTTTCTATGGGAACAAGTGAGTTGTACATTGTGAAAACATGCAGTTTTCAGAATTTCAGTTATGTGACGGGAGCATGTGACTGATTAGTGGTATTTCAATAGTTTTTACTGTGTCTAAATGTGGTTCTGGTCAATTACGAAGGATTTAAATCTGTTCACTCGAGTATCAAATGTAACAAATAACCCTCCCTGATCAGTTAAACCTTTAAACGTCGTGTTTTCTGCATTGCAGTAACATTTACCTTCTCTAGAGAAGTCAAGCGGATCATTTTAGAGGTGACAGGACGTCACTTCCGCAAACAATTGGCACTCAATTTATGTATATAATGAAAAAGATAGAAAAAATGGTTTGGGGGAGTGATATCAACAAACTGGTTGAGGTGCTGTAGTTTAATACTGTACTTCTGTGTTGCTGCAGTCAAATGCACCATATTAAATATTTTCGCAACCAAGTTCAAAATCAAGTATTTCATTTACTACAGCATGGGCTGTAACGGTTGTGTGCCATTTTAAAGACAGGGGAAGACATAATCCTGTGGTTTAAGGCTAGCTTCATTCAAATTGAAAACAACGTGATTGTTTGAAGAAATATGCCTTCATCAATATGCATACAAGATGCTCACCCTTATCCAAATTAAGCCTTCTATCCACTTACATACAAAAAAGGTGTGGACAGGGAATAGTGGTGACTATATAAGATGCACTGTATTATTGTAAATTATATAAAAAAAAAGGTCACAAATGAACAATGCTATGAAATACGTGCAAGGATGAAGAGCTATAAAACCCTGCTTAAACCTCCCTCAATTGCACATCCTCTTCCTTTCATTACCAACTCCAACATAAGCAAATTAGGACAGAAGTCCCCCAATACTTGTATCTAAAATGGCGTTACTCCCAACATTCCTACCTACCTTCTTTATCCATCTTCCAACAATCTAGGCTTGTATGTAGGATACACATTCAGGCTTGTGTTGGTGGTGTTGTCTTCTCTTTCCATCTCTCCATCCATTCACTAACATGTTAGTATCTCTTCTCTAAGTAAACTGCAACACCATCACTGTATTACACTCCCTGACTTTATTACAATAAGGACAGTATCCGTACTATAAGGCTATATATCTTATGTTTAAGACAACTTAAACCAGTTTAACCCTTCCTGTGCCTCTTTATCAAATGTACACATTCATCTCAGTCTTTAAATAGCAGATTCGAATAACCCGAGTCACATTATATGGACCTGAAAGTCTTTCCAATGTAAACTGTCGGATAAAACACGTCCACGTAAAGGACTAGGTCCGATAATCTCAACCCCACGAGGCACAGCTTTTCCCTTCCTTGTACCAACCCTGCTGTTTCAGCTCGCCTGAGTGGTGCGTAGATCGGTTGACCCGCAGTTGTTTCCAGACTGGTGAGCTCCTGAGGGTATGAGGAAGCCCTGCTGTAGTCCTGCAGGGGGAGTGCTGGATGACAGCGGGCCCGCCTGAGTCCACTGGGGCATGCTGTAGGAGGGGCAGGTGTTGACAAACTGCTGACTGGTCACACACAGTGAACCCTTCCGCCCGGGTGCAGGGTTGACCGTGGCTGGCATGTGACCACCCATGGAACAAAGCTGACCTGGTGCAGAGTATTTCCGTGGCATCATCTGAGAAAGAAGACCGTTGGCTTTGATTAGTAATAATAGGAATAAATCTTGATTTGGTCAATATAGGCCTGGTTTCACAGACAGTGCTTAGACTAAGCCAGGATGAGGCCATTTAATTAATTTTGATAAACGTGCCTTAGTAAAAAAACATTACTGGTGTGCATCTTGAGACAAAACTAAGGCACGGATATATTTTAAGATCAGTCAGTGCAAGTTTCTTTCAGTTGAAACAGCTCAGACGTACATTTTAGTCTGGGACTAGGCTTAAGCTTTGTCTGTGAAACCAGGGGAAAGTGTTTCAACCATGCTAAATAACACTATAATGCACTGAGCTATTGTGGATGTCACTGTGCAGGCCAACTGTTAAAGTTGCAATTAAACAGAACTAGTGACAGATCTTTTTTCTGCACTGAAAAAGAAAAATAGTATAGGGCAGAAACTTGGTTTAATTCATTGGACTCAAAAATGAATGCGAGCTTGAAGTCAATAGTAGAGGGGTGGGGTTAGGGTTCATTTTTTAAAATTAAAACATTTGCATTCATGAATCATTCACAATACAAATTTTAATAAGCATTTACAAAAATGACAGAGAATTTTCATAATATGCCAGTTTTAACATTGGTAGATTTGTCAGAGACTTGAGCTCTGTACCAAAACCTGCCGAGGTCCGACTCCCAGTTAATTTCAACAGTGTGTGATATTAACATGTTGCTAAGCTAACAGCATGATACTACGCAGCATAAAAGTGCTTGACACACTAAAAAAAAAATTTCTGCCATCTTAGTTTAAAAAAAATTTATATTAAAAATTATTTAAAAAAATAAATCCATATAAATCTAAATAAAATACACATTCTATTCCAAAACCAAGTTTAATTGTTTTATAAAAGGCAATTAGAGCCTTGCTATCTTACATTCTGTGATAATCTACATCTAAATGAAAATTGTTAAGCATAGTTTTTCTGGTACAGTAAGAGTTAACGTACATTATGGGTTTGTGCATTCTTTTTGGAGCCTTTCTTGACCTGTGGCATCTTGTTCTTGGCATCCCTGGCCCAGTTATCAACCAGCTGATGGAGGTCAGCTGTGAATGTGCCCTTGTGTGGCAGATTAGCAGCAGGTGCTTGGTCCTGATCATGGCTCTGTCCGTTCTCTTCTCTCACTGGACTTGTGGTCCCTGTAGGTTACAATTAATATTCACGGATTAGAAAAACTTGAGCATTTTGAGAAGAAAAAAAATCTCTAAATGGTGAAAGTCCTACCTTGCACATGAACGTTTGAGCCTGGTATGGTTTCAGATGTTAAAGTCTTTCCAGTGCCTGACTGATTGCCTGAAATTTGACCACTCTGTACAGCTTGTTTGTTCCCTAGACAAAACCCAAACAACATTTTTCATCCCATTTGTTCACAAGCCCATGTTACAGTTGGATATACAGTAAATCACTAAGCTCTGATACCTTGTTGAAAAGAACCAATGCCGCTACCACTTCTTGACCTGGTCCCCTTGCCCTTAGTGGGTCTCCGCCTGCCTGCCACAATGGCCACGGTGGGAGGGACCACCACAGAGGGTGGCATTTTGCCCAGACATGTATAGAGTTCCTCAATTTCCTTCTTCTGTTTATTCTGTAATGCCTGAATCTCGACCATATGTCTGCGAAAAGAAAGTTCAGTTGGTGATCACGATACACAGTTTTCATGAATGAGCTCACAGAAAACAGTTACCTCTCCCTGAGCTTGTTCATCTCTCGTTTAAAGCCCTCGTCTTCTGGTTCTGTGTCGTTGTCACTGCTGAGGTAGTGATTGGTGATGGACACGGTGGAAGGGGTCATTTTAGACTGTTTAGCAGAGTCTGGTCCCTCAGCAGAGCTTACAGAGGAGGTCTTTCCTTCTGCTGGAGTGACTGAGAAGCAGCCCACTTTGATGTCAGTGCTGGAGGTCACCTCAAAGCGGCCGACTGTAGTGGTAGATGGGATGGGTTCAGGGCTGACCCTGGGAGGGGTCTGAGATTTATGAACAGTGTTTTCAGGGCTAGAGAGAGATGACGGTGATGATGAGGAAGAGGATGACGATGATGTTGTTGTTGTTGAAGAAGGGGTGATGGAGGAAGATGACACTACAACTGCTGGATCTTGAGCAGTGCCTGGGTCTTGATCACTGGCCACAGAAACCTGAAATGTAGAATCAGGATGTGCATGAACTTGCTGTACAAATCTTCCAGGTATAAAATCTGAGCCCTAGTGCACACTGAGAAGTCTATAAGGCTACCTGAAATCGGCCAAGTTTGAAAGCTTTCTCAGGTGGTGACGTTGCTGGCTCTTTCTCCTCAGTGCTGGTCTGTCCATCTGGTTGAGTTACAGATACAGAAGTCTGTAAAAGAGAATGTTTGTACAAATATGAATGAGTGTAAAATACAATGGACCATTTTAAAAGGCCAATGCCATATAAGACTGTCTACAGTAAAGAAAAGGAATTAAAAATCTAGAATATAAAATACATGTGCCAAGATTTTAGAAATGTACTCTGTATTCAAAATGGTTTCTTTTTTTTTTTTGAAAACCTTTTATATAATTAAGAGAAGTTTACATTTAAATGACACAAAAAATGTCATATTATATTTTGAATAAATGCAAAAATACTCTTTCAGCATTATTTGATTTGATTTATTATTAAAAATGATTAAATTCACAAATACCATTTAGTTATTGCCAGTTTTTAAAATTATATAATTTTATTAAAATGTTAAAAACATCATAGAAGAGGTGTATTGAAGTCATGTATGAATCAGTGTAATTTAGTACTATTTATTTACTATTATAGTATTAATTAATATTTTATAATATAATATATTTTCAGTTTTTTTATTTTAGTATAGGTTTTAGTAATGTTATTATGTGCTTTTGTCATTTTATTATATTTCTATGTAGCTTTATTTTATTTCAGTTTTAGCTATTGTAATTTCACTTATTTTATTGCAGTTAACTGCCAAGACATTTCTAATTTTCATTTAATATTAGATTAATAGTTTAATATTTAAATTACACCAGTATGAATGCAATTTTTAATGCCATCTTGAATAAATTAATACATTTAGACAAAAAAAATAAATAAATTTGAGCTTCATGTCATCCAAATACCAACACAGACACTAAATCAGCAAGTTAGTAACTTTCCCCACCTGTGGCCTTTGTGGGGACAGATCTGCAGATGGTGTCTGGGCATAGCTTGTACGTGTCACAATAGAGGCAAAAGCACCAGGTGCAAAGTTCCCACTGGAACTGAGAGACAAACTGGAAGGCGTTCCACCGGAGACAAAGCCAGGAGTGTTAGTGCTGATAGTGTTGGGTGGGGAGGATGTGGATGTCTCTCCAGATCCATCAGGTTGGTTGGAGGAGCTCTGTGAGGAGTCCTTGAAAAGGGAACGCAGCTTCTGGTCTAAAGCATGGATGTCTTCAATTCCAGGTGGCTTTCCCTGTACATCACTCTCACCATCTCCTGTTGTAGATGGTTGCGTCACAGGGACAGAGGAGGGACCGACTTGCTGGATGCCGGTTTGAGCTTGATCCAAGCCATTGCTCTCAGCCACAACGTTTTGAGGAGTCTGGGAAGGGGTGGGAAGTGACAGTCTACGTGCTGGTGATTCAGTTGGGGCTGGAGAAGGAGATGTCCTCCCTGTTCTGGTTTGCTGAGTGGTAGATGGTGTAGGAGTGCTAACATGAGTGGTGACCACTGTCAGAGCTGCAGTGGCAGCTGGGACAGGGCTCTGGAATAACGATTGAGAAATAGGAGGGATACAGCTCTCTGGGGCAAGACCTCCAGGTGTGGCTGGTACCACAGAAATCTGGGTTGAGCCAGGGGCAAAGCTAGCTTGGTCCTGCTGAACACTGCTGGCTGATGTGGGATCAGATGCTAGAAGTGAGAATACATGAAATCAATCTTAATGTTACATGTTGGTTGGTTGGTCATATTAAAATTTATTGCCATATCAGCTTCATCAGTTATTGCATGGCAGATATAAATTACACATTCAACAACAAAATACCATAAATACTTCATATACAAGTTTAAGCACTTTTTTTCTGAGAAAAAGTAAATCAGACCTGGTATGGAGTCTTCAAATGATGTGTTTGCAGAAGGAGGTCCAAAAAACGGCTCCCGAAGTCTTGCTTCAGGCACTGGGCTAACTATGAAGCGCCGGCCTGCTGAATGTACAACCTGTGCTGCCACACTAGGTGGCACACCTGTTAAATGTGAAATATGTCAAATGATACAGGTTGCAAGATAGGGGCAGATAAAATATAAGAACATCACCCCAAAATACACTTACCAGGCACACTGGATGTTGAAATTTCAGGTACTTGCTGGCCCAAATTACTGCTCACCTGAAGGGTTAAGGGGAAAATTTCATTTGTAGTCTTCAAATCATTTCTCACATTTGTTCTTACGGTCTGAAAAATCATCAACTGTACCTGATTTTGGTTATTTTTCTGAGCCTTTCCTTTCTGATCTGCCATCTGAATGACATCTTGAACCTGCTCTATGAAGGTCTCCCGCTCGCTTTCCAAGATAAAATCACTTTTGATCTTGAAGTTACACACACAGAAGTTAGTCAAATTTTTTGTTTCTATTTATTAAATATTTAATGAAGTTAAACATCCTGGATATTGAGAGCCAAAATGGTAATGCATAAAACGCTAAATCAAAAAACAAAAACAAAAAAAAACAATACATATTGTAATAAATATCATTGTAATTTAAAATGAAGAGGTCTCTGGCAATCAATCCACTCTACTGAAAAAAGGTGAAAGTAAGAGAAATGTGTACCATAATTTCAGCTATTTCTACAGGATTATCTCCATCCAAATCAAACTTGAATGTCACCATTTTCTTGTTGTGCGTTTCCAGCTGACATTCAGCGACTCTGTCCCCAATATTAGAAATCTACAAAAAACAGATCAATAACCCCATGAAAGTAATTATATGTACTTACTCATTTTTGTGCCTATAATCACACTGTTATTATAGTAAAATACACACCAAAATGTAATGTGATGCCACTATTACAAACAAATCAAATTAGATTTGATCATAACTTACATTCAGCACATTGAGCTTGAGCTTGGCCTTGGCCATCTTTTCGTGGCGTGAGCGACTGCGTACAGAGCGGCTCTGGGGTCGTTTTATAGAGCGACCCTCATGGCTGCCCTCGTTCCCATCGCTCAGACCAGATGCAGCATCGGAGTAACCACTGAGGACACCCAAAACATTTTAAACATTTGGTTAAACTTCTCTGTACTAGAATGTCAATATTAATAAACATGAATTATAAAAAAGATGTTTCACCTTTCTGTGGAGGCTGGAACCAGAGATGTTTGAGGTTGTAACTGCTCTACTGGCTGCGGTTGGGAGTGGGACACACTCACTGCTGCCTGTAATAGAGAATTAATTTAGGATTTTAGAACCCCAGTGACTTCTAATCATGATCATCCAAAACACACAATCACAGGGAGGAGACGTTTTTTGTCCAGACAAAAAGGCATTGTTGTAAAATGATGCAATGTGGATACAATCTGGAGTAATGGCTGCTGAAAATTCAGCTTTGCCATCATAGGAATACCCCAGGAATTACATAAAAAAATAAATAAAATCAAAAATCAAACAGAAAAAGAGTTATTTTAAACTGTAATAATTATTCTGATTTTACTGTATTTTTAATCAAATAAAATACAGCTATAAAACAGCCAAAAAATATTTTTTAAAAATCATACTAACCCCAAATATTTGATAAGTACACTAAATTACTGACATTTAAAGAAAATTTTTCCACATTTACTCAAAATTCACTGAAAACAAACTTATTCTAGCATCTACCAACATACCAGTCAACTAATATTTTTTTGTTTAGTATTATAAATGAATTAAGAAACTATTTAGGATTATAAATGAATTAAGAAAATATTGTGTAAAAATAAGCAATTCTGTTTACCATTAACAAAACTATATTTTAAAATATGCATTATATTTTTATATGTGAAAGCATTATATCAGCCATCAGCACTGTAGGTATTATTATCAGCACTAAAACCCCACTTTGGCAAACCGCTAATTCACACACCACAGTGTTAGGCACAACTAGTACCTGACAGGCCTGATATAGAAAATAGAGCTGTTCAGCATTTGGAGGTGGTGAGAAAACAGGAGGGCTGAGTTGACATGCCCATATCTGACAAGAATGTAAGAGCAGCCAGCATGCAAGACAAGGATGGAGAAGTAAAGAACAGTAGGATTAATGTATGAACTGCCAATAAGTTGGACGTTGTGTGCAAACACCACAACATTCATCAAGCAAAATGCAGGCCAATGGAAGATGTAAGGTCAGCCACCAGAGGGTACGTTTACTGTACCTGTAAGACTTGAGGGCCCTGAGGGGGAGCGCTGCCATCCTGAGGTGGCTGATGGTACTGCAAGGGGACGGCAGGCTGAACGGCAGAGGGCAGAGTGGCCGCCTGACCCATCACCTAAGAAGGCAATTCATGTATACTCTCACTTATGTTTAACTCTGGTTTATGTTTAACAAACAACAGATCTATAGAGCAAGATGTTTTTGTCTTCATGTTATGGATCACATGAAGTGTACCTGGGGTGCGGCCGCAGTTCCAGTCTGGGCGATGGGACCCGGGGTCAAAGTACTGCTCGGCTGCTGCAGAGGGGCCTGGGCTGGGTGCTGTGACTATTGAGGAGAAGCAATTTAGCAGTGAACACAAAGAAACAAGTGTTTTTTCTTCAGGTTAACATGATTAGCTCTGCTTGAAAACCAAGACAGGTAACAAAATACAAAGGAAATGACTCACCATGCTTTGTGGATGGGTCATGGTGTGCTGTGGCTGCGGATCAGGCTGTACGGTGCTGAAAGATGTGCCTGGCTGGGCAGGCTGAGTCTCAGGGACAGACGCTGAACCTTGAGGGTCCACAAAATGTGGTCTTATGAGACAATAAGACTTTCAGAACGTTTTCCCATACAAATACGTGCATCTTATTTTTATTCATTACTAGCATTTTAATACTATTTTTTTTTGTTATATTGTATAATTATTTTTCTTGTCATTACTTGCTCTGTGTATAATGCTTTGGCAATATGTTAACACAATCATGCCTATAAAGTACTTTTAAGTATTGAAATGAGAGCAAAACAACTTTTGCAACACTAACTGGAAGCAGAGGCTCCAGGCTGCTGCAGTTGCTGGTCTGCTTCATGTTCTTCAGACTCAATAATGACTGAGGCCAGAGCGGGACCAGGGGGCTTGGCTGTGGTGTTAGTATACGGTCCAAGTTGTGAGGGGTCATTCTCCTGCACCAACTTCCTCTTTTCTTGTTCCGCTCTAACAAGTTTTCTCTGCTCTCTCTTACGGGAGATCAGGGACGCTCTGTCCTTTATGGCCTTTGCAATGGTCTTGTGGTCACCCTCACTTTATGGCCTTTGCAATGGTCTTGTGGTCACCCTCACAAACATAGCCCGAATCGACCTTGAGGAAAAAGATTACTCAGATTTCAACTTTAAAGACAATGACAGGTCAATGTTATAAGAAGGCCAGGGGGAATTCTGCAAACTCTTAGGTGCTTTTTTTTTTACGCACTGAAAGGATGCAGAATAAATATATATGGATAATTACATGTAAGGCCAAAAAAAATTAACCAATTAAAGATTCAAAACATCAACTGATTTGAATCTGTAGTTAAGTAACAGAACAGAAATCCAAGTATCTTTACCATTTCTTGGGCAACATCATCTGGGACGTCTTTATCTAAGTCAAAGGAAAACTCAATGGCTTCATTCTCTTTGTATTTCCCTTTAAGTTTCTTTACATCCTCAATGCGTAGCAACAACTTTATGGCCACCAGCTCTCCATCATCCTCCTCAGCCAGCTCTACACGAACACCAGTTTCCTCCTGGAAAAAAGCATGACTTAGGAGGTCCTTGATGCAATACCTAAAAAACAAAACAAAACAAAACAAAAAAACAAATCAAAATTAAGACCTGTCCTGTACCAATATTTTAATGAGAACATATCAATATATTAAACGGAGGAGAAAACTGGTTTACATACAAACCAATATTATGACAATGTTTTGAAAAATCAACTTATTCCTCAGTAGTGACATCAAAACGTAATCATTTGTGTATCTGACTCACGAGTATTTCATGTTAAATGTTAAATAAAGCATCCAAAATGTCAGTGGGAACTTGTGAGAACTCTCCTTATTCTGACGTAACCACATAACCACATGCATTGTTGGCTTAAGCATAATCAGGTTAAGAACATGCATGTAAAAGACACAGCAGACATTTGTGACCTTGAATGTGATAAAACTGGATTAAAGACATTTGTAAATAATGAATTGTGTGGTAATAACATAGACCTCAGTCAAATCAGACACTGTATTTCATATGACACAAATAAAAAAGGCTGCAAGTATAGCATGTTGAATTTCATACTGTGGTGTAACCAATGAAACACTGAAAATACCTTTCCACAAATTTCCAGTGGACAAGAAAAAAAAAACAGGTTGTGAAAACTAGACCTTACAATACAACAACTGAACTCTCATGCTCGGTGAATGTCAGCCCACCTCTCGTCTTTATTCTGACGTATGCAACCCTCAATGATCTCCTTCACTTCTGGAATAGCCACTTTGTCAAAACTGCCAGGCTTTACCCCCTGTAAACACGACACAGGAAACAATCAAGTAGAAGGCATGTAGAAAGCAGAGATGGTTTTAACTTGGGGCCAGATTTTCTCAAAAATACTAAATTTTGAGTTACTCAGGCTTAAGTTTGTATTTATAACTGTCTGATACCATTAGGTTGCTATGTCAGTACTGGTTTTGTGAGACTGGGCTTCAGCATTTACTGGTAGAGGTAAAAAACAACTTACCACTGTGTGAGGAAAAAAAGCAGAAAGGAAACACCCCCACAGTGTGCAAAAACAGGGGTAAAAAGACTAAAATAGTGCAGCAAACAAAGGGAGGATGAGTGCGCGGGGACTCTTTCCTCCGCCAGTGAAGTGTGGACTTACGCTGGTGACTCTGCGATAGATCTGAGCTGCATTCTGACACTCGGAGTACGGGTACTCAGAAGTAGCCATCTCCAGCATACACATCCCAAAGGCATACACATCCACGGACTCGTCATACTTCTCCTCATACATCTCAGGCGCCATGAACTCAGGGGTACCTTAAATTAAAAGAATGGTTCAGAACTCTCTCAGTACCCTATTACAACCTCTCAGTGAAGAGGTGAGAGGAAGATGATGCTGTCGCTGAAGACCGCTTGGGCATAACCTGCGAGAAAAGAGAGAGGTAGAGGGAAGGAGAGCAAAAAAGGGATAGAAAGTAAAAAAAAAAAAAAAAAAGAGGAAGGGGAAACTCCCCTCAGTTAGACTGCAATGATAAGAAGCCCAAGTTTCTCCATGTAAGACCTTCAAGGGCTGGACTGCATATGAGAAAAACCAAACTGGTGCACAGCACTCACTCAAAGGCCTAGACTGACCACAGGACTAAACAATAGAGACTGAATTTAAGAAATCAACGTATTTGTGGTTGTTAGCCCAAATAACAAGTCCATGGTCATAGGGCCTGATGCTTTCGTCACAAGACCAAACCAAAGCACTAGCTATGGAAAACAAACCTTTCAAAAAGTCCTACCTTTGGGTTAACCTGTGAAGAGAAAAGGTTGAGCAATTCAAATGTGTTACACTACATAGCTTACCAAAAAAGTGAGGTTCTGTGCACCAGGTGAACTAGTAACAAAATTACCCATTGACAAAGGTCTCACACAGACAAACTTCCCATATTGATAATGATTCTGACTGATATGTGTCACATAATACTGGTTGACTTACCAGGCTCATTTCTGCGTACTTACTGTCTGTACTGCAGTACACTAAATAATCCTTAAAGTAGAATAAGGAGAGACCTGAAATAAGAGCCTAAGGCTTCCAAAACAAAAAACAAAAAGAAAAAAACACAAAGATCTTAAAGCTAAAAGTATGAGGGAGATGAGCAGAGAGTTTAAGGCTTTGAGCTCCAGACACTGACACACTAAACGAAAACAAGCATTTCCTTGTGGGGGGGGGAAATGAACAGATTCATTAGCATCATCATCATTAAATCATGGTTGACTGAAGAAACAGACCACAAATTTCCGAACCAGAGCAAAAGATCACTCACGGTACCTGCCAGCCCAGGGCTCAACTCTAGCTCTAGTGTTATCCCATGATCAGATCAGGTTTCCCTGCAGACGTGTCACAAAATACCTACAACCGCACCACAACTACTTACTCGGTCTGTGGGCACCTGAAATTGTTGCAATGAGAACAGAAGAAAAGACAAAAACTATGTTTGAACTAAAAGAGGGTGTCAAGAGACAACTTCCGTAAATCGGGAGCCCTGGTTTGCTGCGGTTCAATCGGTCAGGGAAACGCTGTGGTCTGCTTTCTCACCACTGTCATTGAAACTTTGAAAAGAAGCAGCAGAAGAAAAGAAACTTGAAAAAGAAACATGGAATGAAGGATTTGCTTTTCCCTCAACCACAAATCGGAGTCGGGAAATTCGAATGGATTTCGATTTGGAGGCGGTAATGCAGTTGCAAATACTTAGCCGTACCTATGACGCTCTTGGCAAAGGAGGCCCTCTTGAGGGTAGCCAGACCCAAGTCTCCAATCTTGACAGATCCAGTAGGTCCGGTGATGAAGATGTTGTCACACTTGAGGTCCCGGTGGATGATGGGAGGCGACCTAGTATGAAGGAAGTGCAGCCCCTTCAGAATCTGCCGGCACCAGCTGCGCAGGACTTTGATCTTCATTTCCTTAAACCGTTTTAGATACCTACAAGGGCACCGAAAACAAATCAATCATAGCAGGTGGCCTCGATGACAAACATAGATTAAAAAAAATCTGACAGGAACAAATAAAAGCACTTGCGTCTTGAGTGTCCCAGATGTCATGAGTTCAGTCACCAGGACAATACACTTCCTCCCTTTCAAGGATGACTCCCAGGAGTCGTAGAAGCGTACTATGTTGGGATGCTGAAGACCCTTCAGCATTCCGGCTTCCTCTTTAAAACGCTGCCGCTCTGACTTGGACAACTTGCGATCCTGAAAAATAATTTCTTATTTTACTTTAGAATATTACAAAAGATTTTGTAAATGCGGGGTCACATTAGCAAAATTTGGATTTTGCTTGTGAAATTTCATCCAACAACAGTAAATCTAACGGCACTTTAAATGAGATTTTTTAAACATTAATGCCAAAAAAAAAAAACCTTCTGGGAAAAATTACAACAAAAACATTATCGTTATTATATTTGCGCATTTAGCAGATGCTTTTTTCCAAAGTGACTTACAAAAGACGAACAAAAGCAATTCGTCAAAAAGCCAACACTATTTGTGATATACAAAGTCTATACAAAATTACACAGGACCAGATATACTAACAGCTTGTGCTAGCGCTAGGGCTGTCAAAATGACTGAAAAACTAAATTCGAATTTTCTACTTAAATATGATCAAAATTCTAATTATATTCTAATTTAAAAGGCATAATTTCAGTTAGGGGGAAAAAAGCTTTTGGCTTCTTTCCTGAGGCCACAAGAGGGCGCATCGAGCAAAATATTATGCACGTTTCTTCAAAGCGTAATAAAATAACACGACTATCTTTGAAAAAAAGTGCATAATGTTTATAAACCATATATAATTAATAAAGTTGCTTAAACAATTAGAAAAAAAAACAATCACAAAAAAAACAATTAGGACCGAAAACCAATCACAAAGAGTAGGCTACTTTCTTCATTTAAAAACATGAGATACAGTGGTATGGGGGAAAACCGCCATAACGTCTTTAGACATGTTTTTTAAAAGTTAAACTTGCATTAATTTTACATGGCTTTCTAAACATGCTGACGCAGACCTTAAATTGTGGAAAAAAAAATTGATTTTTTTTTTGAATTCGATTTTTTTTTTTTACAGCCCTAGCTAGCGCAAACCCTCTGTTGACGTTAAAAGTTTCCGTCAGAATTTACTAAAGACGCACAATGAAAAATGTAGAGATGAAAAGTTATTTTTGCGCCTGACATTATTGCATATGGATTTGTAGGAGTTTCCCTTTCAGATGCAAAATTTATGGGAGGGGAGTATTTAAATGAATCATGCAAGGTGATTTACTAGGTTTGCGATAGTCAAGTTACTGAATCTCTGTCTCATTCAGCTCATCCGCTGTTTCATGCAGATATTTTTATGTATAGTTTCATAAAACTGAAGTCAAACCATTCTGTTTTTGCTTCAAATTTCAAAATTATACAATCTAATTTAGATTAAAAACTGCTCATGTTGCATGTATGATAAATGCAGTGGTTGCCTCTAATTTTAAATGGAAAGAGCACAGACAAAGCCTTAGTTTGTTTATATGAAGAGATTTATTTGATTTGTGTTACTTCTTTATTTGATTTGAGGCTTGTTTTAAATTTTCAATTTAGTTTTGTTATTTACATTTACATAAAATTTAAATTTTGTTATTTAGCAAACGCTTTTATCCAAGGCGACTAACAAATGAGGACAACAGAAGCAATCAAAATCAACAAAAGAGCAATAATTTACAAGTGCTATATTAGTATATTATTATAGTTATATTTAAATTTCACAAAGAAACGTACAGTATTTTGTCCAAGCAATAATAAAAGGACACATTTAATTTATAATTTGCCTTAAATCTCATTTTGTAAAAAAAAAAAAAAATTGTGATTAAAATCGAAATTGCAAAATTGATCAAAGAAATCGTAAAATTGACCAAAGAAATCGTGATAGTTTTTTTTTTTCCCCATATCGCACAGCCCTAGCTCAAACCCAATCCAGCAGTGTGACCGTTTTGCTGTGTGTGGCTGACTAAAGTTAAAAAATTGCACTAATTTCAACTGGTGATTCTTAGTTGGCCTACATTTGGTGTGTTCAACTGCCATCTCTGGAATGAGAAAGATTTAGCCATGAGTTTGCCTTTGCCAAGCCCTGGGGGACTGGCATTCACCCTAAGTTAGGGTTAAAACTTTCGTAACTGCTCACATGTGTGCAATTAACACAATTAGAGATCTTTAACACAATGCCTTAACAGAGTGAAGCCCTGTCAAAAGCAATTTCAGTGCCAAATGATGTGGGTTAGAGGAAGGGGGACTCTTTGCACCCCACCCTACAACAGACCTACTTTCTCTCCCTTCTCCCTTCTCCCTTGACTATTCCAAATATGTGGTGCATTCTGTGGCCTATGGGACCAGGCCAGCAAAGCGTGGGAGCGTTTCCCTAGAAGAGGGGCAGCCTGCACACTGAACTCCAGTATAAGGATAAAGCTCCTGGCATGAATTAGGCTCACGTGTGAGGGCACATACCACTTCAGATGGAAGATAAGGAACTAGTATTAGTGAGAGGATCTGAAACACAAATTACCTGGAAATACGTTTAACAACTAATTAAAAATTGACCAATGTAGTTTAGTAGGTTGGGATAGAGTGCAGTGGTCTTGGTGCTTATAAGGGGCTGCACAGGTAGTTTGGACATTCATACGCTCATCTATCAGTCAATAATTTTAATCAGTGAACACATGGAGGTCACATGCTTTGTGAATGTTTTTTGTTAGGATCTGTGTGACCCATTTCCAATCTAAAATGACTATAATATTACATAAAAGGAAATAAAAAATTAAAGTCATACACCACAGTTCAAAAGTTTGCGGTTAGTAAGATTTTTAAAATGTGAAAGAAGTGTCTTATGCTCATCAATGCTGCCTTTATATTTAAAAAATACAATAATTTTGTGAAATATTATTACAATTTCTATTTTAATATATTTTAAAACTTAATTTATTCCTGTAATGGCAAAGCCACATTTTCAGCAGCCAGTCTTGTCTCATATGATCCTTCAGAAATCATTCTATTATGCTGATTTTCTGCTCAAGAAACATCGTATTTTTTATTATTATCAATGTTGAAAACAGTATTACTGCATAATTTATTTTGTGGAAACACATCTTTTAATTTGATGAATATAAAGTTCAAAATAACAGCATTTATTTGAAATGGTAAACAGTGTTACAAAACTTCTGTCCCTTTTGATCAATTTAATGCATTCTTGCTAAAAAAAAAAAAAAACACCTTACTGATCCCAAACTTCTGAAAGGTACAGTGTATAATGTGTATGTGTAGTAAGTGAATGGCTGTACTTAAGCGATTTTAACACTTAAAACATTTCCATCCATCAAGAAGATTATAAACAAAGCTCATGAAGTTCTCATGGGAGCACAAAGTCCGGAAGTGGTAACAGTAATGTGAAACTTTTAGCAGGAAAAAATCTAATAAATATTTTAATAAAATTGTTTTAAAAAAAGTATTATTTAACTTAAATAAAAACATTTAAAATAATAATAATAATAATAAAAATACATAAATGTACCTAGCACAAAACATGTCAACTGGGAAAAGAAATCTTTAAATAGTTTAAGGTTACTGCAGAAGATGAAATGGATTTACAGGGGTCCGTTAAAGGGATCAAATGCAGGGTGAAAGGCAAATGCAGGACAACTGGACTGAAACTCAAGAAGTTGCTTTAAAGTCAGTGGTACGCTACAATGACTCAATTATCTGACTAAACAGTTTAAACAGAGTATTTAATGTGGTATCCTGTCAAGTTGGACACGTACTCAGAGGGATCTTCCGTAAAAAAGAGAAGCATCTGAGACCCATTTTCATTTTCTTTTTGTGGTGACCTATATATTGTTCAAATGTGTTTAGCATGTGAGAAAGTAAAGGAGAGAAATGTGGGAGGGGAATATCCCTGAGTTTAGCATAAGGCGCTAGAGACAGATGGCTATTGTGGGGGAGATACACAGGCCCTTCCCTTTTCTGCAGCAGTGTGAACTTGCAGCTTATAACACATACCTTTGTATCACACAAGACAGGCCGGGAGACAAAAATAGGGACAGCGAGACATGAAATGTGAAAAAAGTGAGTTAAAGAGAGGCTGAAAGCTAGAGAGAGTGAGAGAGAGGCTTTTGTTTCAGCTCAGTGTATGAGCTGGCTACGCCTGAGGGGCATGAGCAGGAGAACTGCAGCTCACGTGGTGCTGCCTCGTCATCGCTCTGCAAAAAAAGAAGCAGCAGGAGGGGGGAGGGCAGCAGCAGCAGAGTCAAGCCTTGGCAAACCAGCTCACCATGCTTGACACAGGAGAGTACAATTGCTTTGGTGGTTGAACTTGACCCACTTTTGAAATCGCACCTCTATGTGGCACATCAGTACATAAAAAAAAAAAACTTCCTCTACATGACAAAAACAAAATGAAGGAGGTGTCTGAATGCAAACAGACTTCTCAGAAGTGGGCCACACAACTTATGAGCTGGTGATTTTCCGAAAGAGGTGCTGTTGCTATGTAGTTGGCCAGCGTTAGCATGCTCTCTTTGCAAGCACACCTCTGAGATTACTCATGCTTTTATCATACCATAAACCAATAAAAGTGGAATGAGTGCAAAAATGTACAAAAGCTCATGTTTCTCACAGTTCATAAAATAAATTTAGAATAATTGGAGAAAAAAAAATGTAAATGGCTGAAGACTGCAATTTATAAAAGCCTGTTTCTGTATCAAAATTAAGCATTATAAGAAAATAAATGATGTTTAAAATAAGAAATGTCACGAGATTTATTTGAAAAACATTTAAAAATCTTACTAACCCTAAACTTTTGAATTGTAGTATTAATTCACATTTGCATGATATTAATTGTAATTCCAAGAAACAACATCACACTGTAAGATCTAAAATAGCAATTTATTATCGTTTTTTTACTCCGACATGGAAACAGGCTTGTGCGGCAATTAGACTGTCTCAAAGTACACTTTGAATAAACACTACCTTTGATTTACTGCATATGCCACACATCCTCCAATACACACCTGGTGGTCTAAAATAACCTAATAAGGAAACGAGGATTTTCAACTCAAGGATGATACTACAATGCCGGGGCTATGGCCAAAGATGACAACAGCTATAAAAACACTGGCCAAATGCCAGATGGGATAAGTGTCAGGGGTGTGTATTGAGATGCTTCAGAGGTGAGATACTCCAAAGGTGTGACAAAAGGACTAGCAAAAGTGTTTCCTCTTTCTAAAGAGATTATACAGCAAAATTAAACATGAACAATACAAGCTGATGACACATTACTTGGAAAGGTGTAGGTGGGGCATTGAAGTTAAAATCAAACTGTCTTGTCATAAGACTGTCATTAAAAGGTGCTGTACTGGAAAGGCCTCAAGACAGGGTTGCAGGTTTCAGAGAATGAGATAGTAGGGATGTAACGATGCACTCCGAGCCGGTTGAAAATCGATACAAATATTTGACGATTCAAATCGGTTGGGATGTTAAGCCAATTGCGATACAGTTGGGAGTGGGAATTTATAGGAATGTATCTTTGAGGGGAACTGACTGTCTTTAGAAAATAGATGCTATTTTCTTTTCATCTTGCCTCTGTATTATGCATATTATAGTAGTGTTTAAGCACAGCTGCTTTGTTTACAGCAGTAACCAAGGAAACACTACATTTCAGCTGTTCCATAAACCCCACCAAAAACTAATTTTGTCCAAAATCTCATTTTGCTAAAAAAAAAGAAAAGAAAAAAATATAGAAAAGAAAAGTGAAAACCGTATAGTGAAATCATTATCGTGAATCGTATCGCATCGTGAGTTGAGTGTGAATCATTACATCCCTATGAGATAGTATTTACTTTAGTCCCAAATGAGCAGATCAGATAGTGATTTACCAACGTCAGCGGACAGATCAAGAGTGCCAACAACGTCAAATGTTGCACTTTGTTATCCTAGCTGTCAAAAGCTGTGACATCCTACCCATAAAGCGCAACACTCAGGTTTCGGAAGCAAAATCTCCATTTATTTTCTCCATAGGTAAATTTAATTATAACTCATAAACCTTTAAAGACAGAGCTACTGTCAGTTCCAAGGTTGTTAAACGACAATTTATCCATTTGCATTATTTCAACTTTTTCATTTTACTGGTGAAAAATGAAATTACCAATGATGCTGTACAGAATGAAGCACCACAAATGGTGCAATCAAGTCTTGCTATGCTGTCAAAATTAAAGTCGTCAAGTACATAGTCTTTTAAGACTAATACTTTTTTCCTTCATATAAAAGTTTATAATGTGTAACTGGTTGGCCTGGTTCATGGCCTCTAATGCTTTAACAAAGACTGAAAAAAGTAACTGAAAGTCACTAATGCACTAAATAAAGATACAAAATACAGGAAACATACCTGCAACTCGCACCATGCCACCTCCACTGTGGTTTCAGTATCCAGACCCTTGTAGACTGTCTTAAAAGAGCCACGTCCAATCTCAATGTCGAACTTTAAGAACCGGCCATCTGGCGACGTCCCGACTGCATTTGTCTCAACTTCCTCATTGTCCTCTAGCTCTGCCTTCGCATCCCGCAAATCGGTCTTAGCTCGTGCCTTCTCTTTACCTTCATCACCCTCCTCTTTCTCATCCTCTAGTTTTGCATCAGCACTATCTCCAGGCTTCAACTCTGCAACGAAACGTGGTGCTTCTGCAGAAAGAAGATGTGTAGTATTCGCAATCAACACTAGCATTGACTCTATGGCTGTCTCAACACCGTCATCTTCCTTTTCTGGTGCAACCAAACCTTCAGATTGTGTGGCCACCGAAGGGATTTTGGTTTCCAAGGCAGGAGGTTCACAAACAAGAGCATGGGAGTCAGTTGAGATGGTTAGGATTGCGTTCTTGCTGGGCAGCTCCAGCGCTGTAGCATTGGAGTCATTGATGACGCTGCGCCGAAAGAAACGGTGCTCTGCCTTCAGTAGTTCTCGCTCCATGGTGTGGTGGCGACGGCGGACCTCGACCCCTAGACGCTCGCCCACCAGCGTGTCTGAGCTGGAGCAGTTGATGTTCTTCGGAGGGAGGGAAAGGAACTTGACCATATTGTCGTTGAGATTTTCTGACATTTCTCCACCAAGTGGAGCGAGAAGTTGGGTCAAACCTTATATGCTATCCACGCATGAAAAAAACAACAACAGTATAAATATTTGATAATGAGAAGAGGTTGCTTCAAACCAAGTGAAAACTTGCCAAACCTCCCTCCTCTCAAAACAGCAGTTCAGATAAAGTCAATACTCTTGCAAACTAAAGTGTTGGAGAGGAGCACAGGAAGTGCTTGGTGATAAAAGTAACGCAGGATCCATGCACAGATCAAAATACATTGTTGATGATGATGATAATGACAAAAAGGAGACTTCACATCCAGCTCATCCATCCTGTGTGAAACTGTGGGGTGTATTCAATCCACATAGGGGGTCTCCTGAGGGGGCAGGGCAGTAGCCTGCTGATAAATGTGATAATCACTTTCAACTCCGAGGTCGTGCCAGAGCACAAAGTTTCACCGATGCATCTGATTCACTGAAAGAGAAACAAAATATAATTTAACCAAGCTGGTTAGCCACCGTTAACAAAATTACACTCAACTTAAAGGGGTCCTATTATGCTCCTTTACAAAGTCTTGATTTTGTTTTGGGGGTGTACTAAAACATGCTCTCATGCTTGGTGGTTCGAAAAACTTATTATTTTTCACATAACTTACATTATTAAAATACCTTTCTCCCCAGCCTAGCACAAACGGCTTGATTAGTTCCGGGTTTGATAAGGAAAAACTAATTGTGCTGTGATTGGTTAGCTGTCCCAGTGCGTTGTGATTGGTGAACAGCTTAGACGGTGTTTCAGTACTGCCCCGCCCCTCGCCAAAGCAGCAAGTTCCGGCTGCTCTGGTATAGTTAAGGATTGCATCAACATTGCCATATCAATTTGAGCCGGATTCAGACCCCGAGAATATTGAACAAGAGGATCGCGGAGAACCAATGCACGCACGGATATTGCAAGACATATTAGCGAGTGGTAATGTTATTGTTTTTTTTGGCTAAATCACGTTTTAGATACAATGTCAAATAAATTGCAACCACTGTTTCCCGACATCGTCCACTTTAGGAATGCCAAACAAAGACGTTTGGGCACAGGGGTGAAAAAAAAAAACAACTGCGTTTCTTCGACATGGCGAAAACTTGACGCTACAGCTTCTTCTTCTTTGTTTTCTCTGATGCACTAACTCTGCAGCAGCACTTCTTCATTGTCGTCTTGTCTGATGCACTCAACCAAGCGCTCTAACCACAACCTCGCCCCTCCCCACCCCCCAACCATTCAAATTTCCGTAGGCGGGATTTATTTTAATGATATTCTAATGGGCCGCTTTGTAACATCACAAAACCCGGAAAACAACGCTGTAGTCCAAAAGAGCCGTTCGTTGTAGTTCTTGAAAAGGGAATTTTTTTTAAACGAAATATCTCCCTTTGGAGTGGACTTTGAGATTTGTAACTTTGTAGATCTTTTTTATGCCCAAACATACACACTACACACTGACTAAAATTCAAAAAGTGAAAAAGCATAATAGGACCCCTTTAAATGGCTGCATGCAAACAAGGCAATGGCTTTTCCACAACCAGGCAAATATTAACCCGTTCAAAAGGGGTTTATAAGAGTTTATTCTCACTAAAAAGACAGGATGCAACTTTTATTATTGTAAAAATAGACCAGTCATACTGAAACTTTTAGATAAAGACAGAGTAGGAGGAAGTAACTCTTTGATTTTTCACATTTATCCCTTATGTCAAATTCAAAACTATTTCCAACTAGCACATTTACATAACTTTTCATAATTTATATAGATCTAATCCTATTTAAACAACAACAAAAGTCATGTACACTATATCTATGCTTTTAAGAAATAATTGGAAGTAACTTATTCAAGAATGTGAACAAACAGTATCTGTCTTCAGGACAGTGAACATATGTTGAGGAATTAGTCAATTAGATTGTCCTTGCCATGTGTGAACACAAAATCGCAGATGGTTTCAAATAATAAAAAGAAAGAGAAAAAAAAATTAAACAGTTGTATATCTTGTTTTTCTTTTGAGAAACAAAAAGTAATATACTGAAGATCGTACTGACGACTTTCCCCTCATACAGTGAGTAAGAATGATTTGAGATGTCAAGCTTCTATTTATTTAAGTTCGTTAAAGTCAGCTTATCATAAGACTCTAGAAGAATTGGAAAATAGTCCAGGAGTTATGTGGAGTAGTTTTATGATACTTTTACGGTGACCTGCGTAATTTTGAAGTTTTAAGGACTCAGTCCCCATTCACAATCATAGAAAAGAATGAACAGCAAATTTTTCTAATTTCTTTCTTTCTTTTGTATTCCACAAAAAAATTGAAGTCATACGAGGTTGAAGCGACATAATGGCGAGAAAATGAACGAGTAATGTTAAACAATTTTAATTTTTAGATGAACTATCCCTTTAAGTGAATCTCTTTCCGCTTATTATATCTGGCGTTAACCATAAAGGAGCTAAAAACAATGTCAACTTCTCATAAATATTAATCACGACTTCGTTTAGTTTCACCCTTGACCATTTTGTCACCACATTCAAGACAAAAACTTACCATAATGTTAAGTGTCGTCGTCATCTTCTTCAGTTATCGGTGAAAAACCAACGGCCAACTCCAGGTTTAACCGGCAATTCCCCAAACGCGCGTGCTCAGTATTTGAAAGTACGTTTATCCGGCGCGAAGCAAGTGAAAAGATCAAAGTCTCTCGCTTAACGTATTTTTTATCCAGTGAAAGTCCGACAAAATGGCTAAATGTCGGTTTCTGTGCCTCCGCTATAACCGTCTCGAGCGACACTGCGAAGTTCGAATGCCAAACACTACAACAACGCGCCGCTTCCGCTAATGGTTGCTCGCGAGACTGCAGAGCAGGTTCTCTTTGTTATTCCCTTTCAGCTGACCTCGATTCATCTTCCCTGTACACTCATCTACTGCATGACGTCGCGCGTGCAGACGATGTAGTTCAAGTTGACGATACAGCATTTACATCAACAGGATACAAAACAATATTTGAAAAGCCCAGAGACTATATCCATTTATACCGAACACGAAACTTGGCTTTGGCTCTAACGTTAGCGCGCTCGCGTGCGCTTTGTGGCTCTATTGTTGACAGCGAAAAATCCCGAGCAGATGTAGACGATTTGCACGCGCAGGGTTCAAGGCTGCGTAATCTGCATGCCATCGATTCCCTACATTTTCGCCATCGCACAAATACATGCAACATGAACAAACCGGTTTCGTGATCAACAATAACCCGGACTAGTCTGTCCACTCCCCCTGCTTGCCTTTATCCGAGTAATGTCTTACAGTTAGAAAATAGCGCCGCCTGCTGAAACATCGAACGCATGTATTATAGCCTGCAGTGTTTTAAAGGAAAAGTTCACTCAAAAATGACGATTCTGTGAACATTTACTCAACTTGCATTATTTTATTTCTTCAGTGGAACACAAAAGGAGAAGTCAGGCAGAATGCAAGCCTCAGTCACCATTCACTTTCATTGCATCCTTTTTCATAAAATGAAAGTGAATGACTGTTTTTACTCTCCGTGTACATGTCATGATAACCTCTTAAGAGGTCATTTAGAATTTTACAGCAGAAAACGTCACTTTACCCTAACTAATGTAATTGATAAAAAGAACATGTTTTGTTCTTTCGTTCACTTTTCTGGATGTGAATATGTATAAGATTAAAATCATACATTCAAAGATATCAAATACACAAAATACATTTTATTTACAGACTTCTAGCTTGCTAGAAAATAGAACCAAATAAAGAATCAAATAAGATTAAAAACAAAGGAAAAAAAGAATGCATATTTTACTAATCTGGAAACAAAAGATTATTAATAGTCATATGATGTCAGAAAGAAAGTAAATTTCTAAGAAAAACCTGTTTTACATATCATATATATATATATATATATACATACATACATACATACAGTGTGTGTACACATCTTAATTTTTTTAATACTATTTTATGTTTTATTAAGATTAATATTAATATTTTATTATATTAAGATTCTTACTTATATTAAGATTTTTTTAAAAGTCAATGTAAGAATAACTTTTATATGTTATTAATATTTCAAGATAAACACTTTCTGGACTGAAGCAACTTAGGTTTACTTGATTCATATTTTTTAAAAGAAACTGTATACAATATTATGTATGTATGTGTATGTCATCATTGTATTGTATTGCATTATATGTTTTGATCCCATAATAAAAACTACATAGCTTTGATCGTAAAACCAAGCATTTAAGTATACTAAGACATATTATTGGTATTTATATGCAACTGATATTATGCATTTTATGTAAGTAGTCTGTTATACAAATCTGATTGGTTTATATTACAAGCTATCATAATTTTGTCATAAAACTGGTGTTTTTTTCTTCCTCAGTATTCTCATGATACTATATGAGCCATAAAAGCCTCATGTATCAAATATAAAACAAAACATAAAACACATGTACAAATAGGCCTATAGGCTATATTTTTTCTAAAAGGTTCAATAAACTATTGCATTCATTTATTTTCTGACTATTTCATATGTCAAGCTTTACAGGGTTAAGAATTAAATAGAACTGTAAGTTAACAAGATGTAGTAGGCCTATATTAGACATGGAAGTGTGTTGTGATTTGATTCAAGTAGATTTGCATATCATGGTTGAATAAAACATGGAAGCTTATAATAGTACACCTAGCACAAATTTCACAGAAGAGAGAAAATCATGTTTTATACAAAACATGAAAGTGTGCATAAATGATGACGGATTGTCTATTTTGTGTGAACTGTCCCTTTAAGAAGGCTCAAACCCCACCAACTGGCGTTTATCTCTGTTCTCTGTCTATAAACTGACTGGGAGGTGATAAAGGGTAGCTTAGAAATGTACATGGTTTGGGGCAGGATGACTATTCAGAAATGAAAATAAAGATATCATGGCATATACAAGAAACACACACACACACACACACACACACACCACAAACTTATAAATAACTAAAAACAATATAACACAGACACACCAAGCTAAATGGGGGCACATCATTACTATAGACCTGACCCAACACTAAACCTTATTTGTTTTTATTTTAAAAAATATTTATTTTTATATATGAATGGTTTTTCCCTTTTTGTGAGCGCGCAGCGTAGGCGTTACGTCACTGAAGTCCTCCAACTCTGGGAAGATGCTGGTGTGTGTCTGCAAATAATAAAACCATAAAACAATACAAAGAAAAAATAGGCCGCTTCCTCTCTATCAGACATCTATTGGACAGACGGTCGTTGAAACAGACCAGCCATACAAGGTAAAACGATTTTTGGAAAAAAATCCTATTGTGGTTTATAATAAATTAGTGAATGCTCTTATATGGTACGGTTATTCAATATCTACATATATTGATATTCAAATAGCGCCTCTCATTTATTGTCGAATTTGCTGGACAGCTATTACTAACAAAAGAGGAGGCAAATGTGTTAAGCCATGCAATGGTGGAGAAGAAGGACATTGAGGGAGGATGCTCAGGATTGTGGCTGAGCGATTGCAGGGCTGAATTTGACGGAACATTAGGTTTAGTATATCCGTAATCTAAATTGTTCCGATATAATAATTGTAGTCTATGATTTTGCGCATTTGCAAGTCTTATTGACGTGGTGTGTGGCAAATACCGACGCTTCTGGTTGGTTTGTCAGCGCTGTGAACAGCCTTCACCTAAATACAGCAGCATTATTGAATCGACAGCGGTGGACACTGAATATCTGTTGTTTTAGAATATAAATAATCAGCGTAGTATCCATAATAACGTTGGCTTAGCCGTTGACATTAAATGTTTGATAACCTTGGAGTGTGAGTCTACAATAAAATCCCACCTTTCCTTCGATTCACTCATTTGGTGTGTAAGCGGGAGAAACATTATTACATTATCTAGCTTGTGAATTATTTTGTGTACGAGAGTATATCACGCCAGATTTCTATTGAGTAATGCATACTAATATTATGAACAATAGTAATGTTATAGTAGAAGTAGTGTGGAGGAAAAAAGCTTAACATCACTGACTGAACATATAGGCTAGCTTTTTTTGAAATCTCTGCTGTTTGTTGAAACCAGTGTCAAATATTTACTTTATTTGCTGTCTGGAATTGATTTTGAGTTTTTTAAAGGGCATTTTTAAACATGGCAAGTCTCAATATGAAGAATTCTAGCTGTAATAATTATATCTGTAAGTATACCTACTAAATCAAATTAGCATTACATACAAATATAGCTGCAAATTATGCACAAGATTATCATAAAACAATAAACACTAACTATATATTCGAATATACCGTTCTCTACAGTCTACTATCTTGGTAGATTTGGACAAATTTCTAGTTTTCTAGTCTTCACATTTGCAGAGCTGATTGTAGTGTTTTTAATCAAAAACACTTCAAAACTCAAATCTGAGACAGAGAATACCGATATCTGACAGTTACAGGTCAGGTTTTGTATCGTCACTGAACCCAACCCTGGATAGGCCCAGAATAAAATACATGGAAATGTATCAAACATTAGATATAATAAACTGAAATTAATCGAAGAGAACCCCCACATTTTAAATGGCTGGTGTATTTTTGCCCCAAAATTATGTATGTCTTGTGGTAGAGACTATCCTGCCATTTCTTATGTGATTATAATATTATTTTGTGTGTTTTGCCTTTTTATTTCATTTTACAGGCCACCATAGTTGCTCCATTTGACAGAAAAATACAGAAGACCGGTCTTTGCTTGGCAGATCACATTCCTTATACTTGAGATGAAAATGACCCGGCCTGTTTATTAGCACATTCCTTCACATAAAATTTTCGGTGGGTTCGCTTGCTTGCACTCAAAGCCTGCCAATATGTACGGAAGTTCACGCTCTGTGAGCAAAATGGACAGCAATCACGGTGGGGGTAGAAACAACCAGGGCAACTCTGGACGCTCGCCACGACTGCCTCGGTCACCCCGTATGACCCACCGTCGCACCAACAGCATGGTGGGCAGCGGCGGAGGCCCGGGCGGCTCTGGAGGCAAGACGCTGTCCATGGAGAACATTCAATCTCTTAATGCCGCCTACGCCACGTCGGGGCCGATGTACATGAGCGACAATGAGGTCGCAATCGGCACCTCCTCTGACCTCCCTAAAAGCGGCGTAGCGACAGGGCGCTTTGGAGGCAGCATTCCTTACGGGGTCCGAGGAACCGTTACAGGCAGCACGCCGGACATGGCCATGGTGCCTGCGGTGTCCACCGACTCTATGGGCTTTGGAGGGGAGATCCACGCGGCATCAACCGTCCCTCACTCGCTACGTCAGGCGAGGGACAACACCATCATGGAGCTCCAAGCCCAGCTTAAGGAGGTGCTGAGGGAGAATGAGCTCCTTCAGAAGGAGATTGAGGTGAAGGAGAGCAAGCTCAGCTCCTCCATGAGCTCCATCAAAAGCTTCTGGAGCCCGGAGCTGAAGAAGGAACGTGCACTGCGCAAAGACGAGGCGTCCAAAATAGCAGTGTGGAAGGAGCAGTACCGCGCTGTGCAAGACGAGACACATGTGGGTACATCTGGCAGGATATGCTTGTTTTTTAAATATAAATGGACGTTTATTGCTGATCGGAGAGCTGTTTTGCTGTTTCAGTGGGATTTAGGATTAAAGCGTGTGCTTAAAGGAATCTAGTTTTAAATTAGGATCTTAGATAAGTACTAAAAGTACTGTATATCTATAAAAGTGTACTTTTAAGGCCTGTTTACAACAAGGAGGGTAACTATACATTTTTTATAATTCTTCTAATTGTATAAGAATATGGAAGTCCACACCACCACTATAACGATAATGACACTGAGGAACGATTACATTGAAACCATTTTCAGAACATGTTTTGTCCAGCTGGTGAACAATAAAAACATTGACAGCCTATCAGAATCTGACTTTAAAGAGCTTGAGCATTTAAAGCGGCAGGAATTTAAACTGCAGTGCATGCTTATAATAAACATAAACAAATTACCGTACCTTGGTGTGGACGTTAATATAGTTAATGTTATAGTTGTCTTTATGGTTATAGATCTTGGTGTGAATGGGACTAAACCCTGATTCTGAATAAGTGCTTCCCATTTTACATACGCCTTGCACTATTCTGTGCCATTTGGTAGTATAAGAAGTGAAAGTAGTGTGTTCACACTGAAAAACTCATTGAGGCATAGAGCACTACGAATACATGAATGATGTACTTCATCAGCTAAAAAAATAAGGTCAGAATTTGTA